TTTTTTTTAAATTTATCATTTAAAGTTTTATGACTTTTAAATGATCAATTAAAAAAAAAACAAATTAACTAAACTTACGATTTTTGATAAACAATAAAAACACAAAGCACCAAAACAATTGCCATAATCATCAGTACGATTTTTAGTATACCCCTGAAATGTGATCGTATATAAGGTGATTACTGATATTGCAATTTATCTGTTAATCTCTCTTATCATATTACCTTTGAATTTTAGCACTTCTTTCATTCGATCATTAAAAATGTCTTCTAAATTAATTAGAATACATCAAATTAGTATTATAACCTCGTATAATCGCATAGTTCGCCTTTGAAACCGCATGAAGGCATATCGACCGGAATATTCTTTGTTACAGTTGTATTATAATTTATTATTTTACCGGTCTGAAAATTTTTCAAGAGAAAATTAAATAGTAAAAATTATTTAGTGTTAAAATTCAGATAGGTTTAGGAGAGATTTTTTTTTATTCAACAAGGAGAGTTTATTCATTTACAAGTTTATTTTATTTCAATCTTTTTGAAATGCATCATTTGTGATAAACTATAATTTTACACCGATTTATATCATCATTTGTATTCGTTTCTTAATGTGTAAAAAGCAATTTTTTTCATCTACAATGACGAGTAGAATTTTAAAAATACAAAAATTAAAAAAATTTTGAACCCGATAAATTATTATCAAAAAATACAAAATTTATTGATTTAGTTTTCAATTTCTTTACAATTTTTTTTTTACAATTTACAATTTTTTTTCCATTATGAGGAATGAAACGATCAAAATGTTAAAATTAAATTTTAATTTATTCAAAAAAAAAAAAAAGAAAACAATTCACCAAAGAAATGCAACGTTTATTAGCGTTTTCTTCTCGTGTCAGCTCACATTTCTCGGTCAGAAACAATTCAGCGATGATAATTGGTTCTTTTTCAAATACTTCAACATATTTAACTTGAAATGGTGTCAACCGTACTGTATATTGATTTAACCATATTGAACCAAATGGTCCTACAATGATTAGTTTTAAATTTTTTAAAAGTAATCTTATTAGAGATTAAATTTTAAATTTGCATATTTTTGAAGATATTAAAATAAAAAAAAAAAAAACTGTACATCTACAATGCATAATATTGTTACATTATGTTTTTAGAAGAAAATAAAATGAATATATTTATGTTAAAATTAAATTAATCACAAACAAACCTGTGAAATGACTACTTTTAAGCTTATCAATCAACGATTCAAATCGTTTAAGTTCAGTAAAATTTTGCGATACTTGAAAAGTATTTCGAAGAAGTGTTGAATATAACCATCCCGATTCATAGAGCTGAGTGTACAGCACAACTGCTACCTAAAATACAAAATATTTCAAATGTGAGATAGAAAAAGATAAACAATTTATAATAAAAAAAAAGTATTAATCAGTCGAATATAAAATTTCTTAGATATGATAAGAAAAAATTAATCGATCAAAATATTATTGTCACATGTATGTTGTGCAAATAAAAGATTTCAGATAAGCAAGCAAAAAAAAAAATGAGACAGTGATAAGAGCGTTGTTATCATTTGGAAGGCTCTGTAATGTTTAGCAAAAGTAAAAAAAGGCAAATTTTTTTTTTTTTTGCGCTCAAACAATCACTTTTAGCTCCTCTTTGTTCGTGAATGTTAATTTTGCAAAAATTTGTTGAAAAGTAAGAATGAAAATTTTCAAACTGAAAAAATTTACATCATTGGTGCCTGCTGGAATATTGCGTTTTATCAGTGATAAATTGCGTGATGAATAATAATTGTTGACAAGCTAAATTAAATAATACAGTACAAAATAAATTAATTTCGTTGTGGAAAATCAAAAATTAATCGGTTTAAATGTGCATATATAATTTATTTTAAATTTAAAACTAACAAATGTTAAATTTTTGCTACCTAAAAAATAAACATAATTTAATATAAGTCTAAAACTAAGAAACATTAGGTAACGATGGAATATTGAAAAATAAAATGATTTGAAAAAATAAAAATGAAACTTGCAATAATAGTTTCATCAAAGTAGAATTTCATAGTTTCATTGATGCTATTATTCGGTAATATCCATGGTGGCTTGAATTCGTCGAGAATGAAAAAATCCAAAAGCACGGTAACATAAATAGTTGGATCAAGGCTAAGCTGTTTTACAGATGCCAAAAAGTCTATATAATCATGAAGATAATATCCGAATATTGGAATCCATACTGGAATATTTTGAAAGTTTGAAAAAATTTTCACGAAACATTTAAATCGCTTTCATTTGCTTTAGTAGTAAGTAAAATATTTATGACAGTGATTTGTTATCAATACATGATCAAATTTGACGAACGCATGATGAAATGTAAAATTTAAAATATACTTCTGGAAGTATTCTTAATTTCCATTAATACATCGATCAGTGGTCGAGTTGAATCGGATGTGTTTACATGAATATCGCTTAACAGTGAAATACCATTTAATTTAAATATACTCCGAATATTTGCAATTTTCAGCTTAGTGGTATATTCATCGTCAAATGCTATCACTGACCAAATTAATACTACCTGTTGTTTGATAAAAAAAAAATAATTGATAAAGTGATAAAGGTTCATAGAAAGAAGTATTCAATATGAGCAAAAAAAAAAAAACATGATATATACTTTCTGGAAATATGCTTTTAAACAACAAAAGAAAAGCAGAAAATAAACAATTTAAAAATGAGATGATGAAAAATGAATTAACAGGCAATGGTAATAATCAAAATTATATCATTTTACCTTATTCCAATTCATTATTTTAAAGAATGCAACCAAATTGAATGCAGCATTCAATATTGAAATAGTTGATATCTGTAAAGAGTACCTTTTTTTTTTT